CTTTTGTATGTATCTAATAATGCTTGTTAATTTTAACTAATCAGACCTTTTCTATAGTATCCATTTATTATGTAATACCTCTTAGAAAAGAATCTTATAGTACATGTTTATATATGCAACCAATTAAAAATGTATAAATTAGTGTAAGAAATTCTTGGATTAGGGCCAGCAGGTGGTGTAGTGGTTAAGGTACTGGATTCCCACATGGCTGACCATAGTTCAAGTCCCAGACCCGGTGACTTGAAAATCAGGCTGGGCCCATGTGTGTGTGTGTGTGTGTGGGTGTGTGTGGGTGTGTGTGTGTCCAAAATCTCAAGTGGAAAATGGAGGAGAAGGGATTGCAGCATGTCTATCCACTCCCCACCCACCACCAGGGGAGGTGATTTCTCATTTTCCCTTTCTCTCTGTCTCTCTCTCATCAAATTAAAAAAATAATAACAAATAAAATAAATAATTACAGACAAATCAAAGCTTTTCATTACCTTAGGGGCAAACTGTACAATTCCCTTCTGTGTCTAAATTTTCTAAAATGTTCATTTGCATAATATTGCATTGCACTCTCTACCATGAATTTCTTAAAATGATAGTTACTGAGAAGATGAGATTTATAGTCATTTCTCATTTTCCCATTTGTATTTTACAAGTTTCTTTTATATTACTTTTGTAATTTAAAAAATTGGCCAATTGGGATCAGCAGTTAGCGTAATGGCTATGTCGCTGGACTCCCACGTAGTCGAGACCGCGGTTCGTGTCCCGGACCCGGTGGCTTAAAACTCATGCCGGGCGCATGTGCATGCGTGCCCAAGATACCGAGAGGAGAATGGAGGAGAAGGGATTGCGGCGTGACCATCCCCCCTGGGGGGTGATTTCTCGCTTTCTGTCTCTATGTCTCTCTCTGTCTGTCTGGCGAGCGCACGCGCCCTACAGTGAAAATCTCTCCAAAAAAAAAAAATTGGCCAATTTAGTTTTATATTATTGAAGCAATACATGCTGATTGTAGCAATTCAAAAACAAGTTTACTGAAGAGTTCAAAGTGAAGAATAAGACTCCTCTCTGGTCTTTTTTTTTTCCCCTTTATACCACTTACTTAACATTATTTTATTTTTAATTTTAACATATTCTTATTTCATTTTGTTTTACATTCAATCACATTATTTAGCTTACAAACTGAATATTTCAACATGTGAACATTTCTCCCTATTCCAGTTGATAAAACCTATAAAAGTATCTTCAACAGATAATACCACGTTTCTTTGTCCCATTAATGCTTTGCCTCTCTACTTTTCTTCTAAACGTACTTCTTCAGACTCTACACTTTCACACACACTATATCTGGTATTTACATCCATTTACTGAATTTCTATATCCTTTAGTCAATCAGTTTCAGTCATAGAGTGCAGACACTTCGTATATATTAAGTGGGGACGTACAGTGTCTCTCCTTCATAGCCTGGCTTCCTTCACTCAGCAGTAAATCTTACATATTCTTCAACTTTCTGTCAAAAGACAAGATTTTGTTGTTTTATATGGCTGAATAGTATTCCATAGAGTATATGTGCCACAGTTTTTCAATCCATTCATCGATTTGTGGGCATTTGGGTTGGTTCCATGTCTTAGCAATCGTGAATAGTGCCGCAGTAAACATCGATGTGCAAGCACTTTTCCAATTAAGAATTCTTCTGTCCTTTGGGTAGATACTAAGGAATGGGATTGCTGGATCATAGTAGTTCCATTTGTAGATTTTTGAGGAATCTCCAAATTGTTCTCTACAGTGGCTGGGCCAATTTACATTCCCACCAGCAGTGTAAGAGTT